TGGGAGGACATGAATTCAGCCTTCCATGAGGTTTTTTCTTCTCTTTGTCCCGGAAAGCGTCACCATGACTCTCAGGAAGTCTCTCCCGTGGTTTACGAGGGGGCCCTGGAGTAGGAACTTGCCCCAGTTCCCACAACTCACCAAGTACCTGCAGGGGTATCTTCAATTCCTGCTCTTTGCCATCGTCTTTCGACACTCTTAAGATGTAGGTACTGCTGTCCTCTTTCTGTACTTGGTGGATGTGCAGATGCGCGGGACTTTGAGGATCCAGGCGGATTCTGAGCTTCAGTGGAGAMTTGTAGTAGGTWGGAGGGGACGACACATACCATTCTACAATCTTTTGTTGGGGGTTGTAAAACCAAATTAGTTGCTTGTAGTTACCCAGTAAAWCTTCGGGGACTTGCAGACTCACATTGCTGCCAGAGACCACCGTCTTTCTAGGCACTGAAGGATCTGCCAATGAAAACCAGAGATGCACCTTGGAGGAAGCAGTACCCCCCAGGGGCCCAGGCTTTCGCTTGGGCTGGTGGACCAGGGGAGAAGGAAGGAATTTCTGATTGGGGGATAATGAGTATGATTTTTGTCAAAGGTACTCGACCCAGAATCAGGAATCCAGTGGCAGTGGCGGCTTGAGATGCTGAGCTGGCCTTGGGTCTCTCCCTTCCTTTCATACCAGTAAATTTTCAAATAAATTGACGAAAAATCACATCCCTTCTTTGGGCTTGGGTTTCRTGTCAGTTCAACCTAGTTCAATAAGCATTATGTTCGTCTCTAGAGGTGTAGACATAAGCAATACATGTTTCTATCCTGAAAGATTTAACACCCTTCAGGATAGACCCAAAAAATTATTACCAAAATTATCYTGATGTGTAAATATCTTTGGATACGACAACAAAGATAAATACAAAGTGTTAGGGAATCTGCCCCTGTCCAGGGAGTAGGGGTAGAGGATGGAGGAAATCCTARGGAAGTCTCTTTTGGAGAAGATGACCACAAGAATGAGTCAAAGAACGTTTAAAAGGCAATATTTGTCGAGTACCATGTAGTGGGCACTGTTTGAGGCATTTGGGATACATCAATGAATTAAAYAGCAAAGATCCTTAAGCTAGGATTAGAACAAGCAATAAATACGATAACTAAATACATTATATAGTATATGGGAGGTGGTAGTAGTTTTTATAACAAAAGAGGAACCTAGAATAGAGTAAGGGGAGCTACGAGTACTAGTAGAGGTTGGGAGGGGAAATGTCATTTACTAGATGATGAGTAGGTCACATCTGAGCAGAGACTTAAAGAAGGAGAGAGAAAACCAGGCAGACATCTGGGGTAAGAGTAAAATAGGCAGAGGGAAGAGCTACAGCCAAGGCCCTGTGGTGGTGGTGGTGGTGGTGGTGGTGGTGGTGGTGGTGATGGGGTGTCTGCCATATTTAAACAACAGCAAGGGGGTCAGAATAGAAGGTACAGAATGAGCCAGGGGGATTGGGTGTTGAGACAGTCACAGGGAAAGTTGGGATTGGGGAGAGTGGATAAAGATATTTTCATTTTATTGATAATATTTTGCTCTGTTTTTTTTAATTCCCTGTAAAAGTGGCTTATATATCATATGCATTTAATTTATTTTGAAGTAAGTTATTAGATGGTAAGAAAGTGGAGACCATTTATGCCAACTCTATTTGACAACATTTGGATGGAGGCAGAATTACTGTGAAAGGGATGAAACGGAAGCTTTGGGGTCTCTTGTCTGGCCCTAGAGGGGCCCTAACAGTGTATTCATGTCTTTATAAACAGAAATAATTGGACCACTCCCTGTTTCCAGTCTTTTTCCATCACATTTCTACTTGTGCTGGGTGGTGTCGTGCTTGTAGTTATTTGGAATCTGGCTAAGGGGAACTAGAACTGGGGGATGTTTTGTCTGAACTCCGTGGGGTATATTTGTGYGGTTCAGACCGTTCTGTGCAAGGTCACTGCCAGCTACGCTGATGAAGGAAGAAGTGGCACAGAGGAACATTGCGGCTGGGCCCTGCCCTGCTTCCTGTGCCAGGCCAGCTGGCAGACCATACAAGGGAAGTAGAGGAAAGACGAGGATTGACGTGATCAATAGCCAGAGCTATTCTGTGGCAAAGTGTTATAGAAACATGAAGTCACTTAACTAATTAAAATTATAATGCCATTTTTTTCTGGCTTTTTGTGATTTATGACATATTTGTCCATTTTAAAAAGTTTGTCGTTTGTTGGAATTTATTTATTTTTTTTCATTCAAACTGAATTGGTTTTTGTTCCCAAATGTATTTACAGTTTTGTTAATATTTTTTTTCACAAGGATACTCCAGATTATGTAAGATTTAGGTTCTACAGGAGGAAGAAAAGATGATAGCTAATGGGTGGAAGGTGAAGGGAGGTCTGAAAAAAGAGGAATGAAAATTATGTATATGGAGTCTGGGAAAGAGCTGCAAAGCAGTCTGGGAAAGAGTTGCAAAGCAGTCTGGGAAAGAGCTGCAAAGCAGTCTGGGAAGGAGCTGCAAAGCAGTCTGGGAAAGAGTTGCAAAAACAAATAATTAAGGTAGATAAAAGGAGGAACACTTCCTACATCATTCTGTTATCGTACACCATCACACAGACACTTAGTCATCTCATTCAACAACGTATATACCT